ATATAGCTGCAAGGTATGTGGGTATGACAATGGGAAACTGACTGAATTTGACTGTAGAAAAAGTTAAAAGTATGGAGTGAATGGGCAGAAATTAAAGGGAATACAAACAATATATAAAATAATAATGCATATAATATAGATAACGGCTGAGAGTTGGTGTGACTGGAGTCCCAGGGGAGCCAACTGATATCACTCAATTAGGGTGAACTGCAAAGAATGGGGAAGACAATCCCTAAAGCTGGTGGATATTCCAATACTTAGATTTACCAAACCAGCACAAAACAGCTTCTGTAATACCTTACTGGTCACCCAGAAGCCAACAGCACAGTTCCCTTAAAGTAACCCAGCCTTAGGCCTCCACCCAGACACCCAAGTCAAATATGATGAAGATTATTGAAAATCATATTCATCATATACAAAATTCTACCAATCCCAAAGGATCGGACACATTAACTCCCAGGTTAATTTAATATTTCAAATCTTACCCAAATACACGCTTACAGCCAATTCTTATTAAATAAACTAAAATTTCTAAAAAAACAAGAGGGTATTGGTTAAAAGTTCTGTATACATACAGACATGAGTACAGTTCTTGAGATTAAATTCATAGCAGAGATGGTGAGCTTTGGAATTGCAAAGAGTTCTTTCAGAAGTAGTTCATAGGTTATAGTCCAATGTTTATATTCAGGGTGGTCCAGTCAGGACTGGAGATCTCAACCTTTTGATTTAAGCTTCCCCTGCATGAAGCATTAAGCAGGTCTGAGATAAAAAGGATCAGGACCTAAGGGTCTTTTATGCAGTTTTCTAGCAGCCACTTGACCATATAGTCCTGGGTGAACAATAGGCTTTTGATGTAACCTTCTGTTTCCCAAATCTCACCGGTAATTAACTACATAAATTGACATAAGGCAATTTATCCATTAGGTGGTCTATCACAAACTTTTAAGAGACATACAGACAACATTATTTCACCCAAGATTCATCTAAATGTTAATATACCCTTTTTGTCTCTGAATCAATAGCTATAGTGACAGACAGGAACTGTCTGTTTACATGACTAGCATTTAACAAAATATGAGTACACACACAAAACTTTATCACCTCTAATTTCTAACAAGATAGATTTGCATTTCAAAGTTCTAGCCTCTCTACCATGGAATGGCTCTAATTACCATTTGCATACTTTTCTAACATGTCTCTAAAAGTTGACTCTGGGTCATTTAGCCTGCAAGCTGCTTAACCCTTTTTGCCCATGTGTCACACTGTTTAAGATTTGTTGTAATTATAGAACAGTGGTAGCAACAATGGTTTGCATGGTCATACTTTAATCAGATAACATCACAGTTGGGCAGCAATAGAATGGGGGCTAATAGATTTAAGTAAAGTATATATTTAGGTATTTCTCTGCATTGAGACCTCAGGGGTCAGCAACCTTTCAGAAGTGGTGTGCCGAGTCTTCATTTATTCACTCTAATTTAAGGTCTTGCGTGCCAGTAATACATTTTAATGTTTTTAGAAAGTCTCTTTCTATAAGTCTATAATATATAACTAATCTATTGTTGTATGTAAAGTAAATAAGGTTTCAAAATGTTTAAGAAGCTTCATTTAAAATTAAATTAAAATGCAGAGCCCCCCGGACCGGTGGCCAGGACCTGGGCAGTGTGAGTGCCACTGAAAATCAGTTCGCGTGCCGCCTTCGGCACGCATGCCATAGGTTGCCTACCCCTGCCTCAGACTGTAAACTAGGTTCATAGATTATAAAGCCATAGAAGACTATCTAGGCTGACGTCCTGCTTAACAAAGGCCATAGAATTTCATTCAGTTATCCCTGTATTGAACTCAATAACTTGTTTCACTAAAACAGATCTTCCAGGAAGGCATCCAGTCTTGATTTGAAAACCGCAAGAGATGGGAAATCTGAAGAAGGGATAAAATGAAAGCAGCTTCATGGCTTAAAGATAACATTGTCCTATTCCTCCCACAATCCAAAAATGCTGAGGAAGAGGCACCAGAGCTCCAAATGTGAAGCCCCAGACCCCAGTGCTAAGTTTCAGCAGGAAGATCTGTATTTAACACCAGAAATCTGAAGATTTCTGGCTGCATTCACTGAAGATCTAATTAGAAGTACCAGCTGAAGCAATCCATTCAGTTTCATACATTTTTATCTGTGGATCAAAGGCTTCAGGCACAAAATACAGAGAACAGACAATCAAATGACTTCTGGGAGGAGGGAAGGGGGGAAATGAAGAGGGAGGGAGAAGGAGGTAGAGAATTCAAAGACTGAGATTATAAATATACAGAGGGCTGCAATACAAACAGCTTGTGGTGGTGTCCAATTGATGGTAATTATATAGCTTCCTTTTTACTTTTACTTTGAGTCCATATACAGTTTAAATCCAGTCGCCACTGTTCCCAAATTCATTTCAAGTAAATTCATGATAATAAATAAATAAAAGTAAATAAAATGATTAAAAATGTGAAAAAATATTTCCCTCATGCAAGAAATGATCAAGTTACTATACAGTTTGTAGTTCATTTAGTAGCTTCTTATATATTGGAGGATTTAGATGTAATTAATTTGGGACGAAATATTGTGGTATGTAACATCATAGTTTTGATTTTATTTTTCCTTTATACTGTATATTCTGGTTAATTACTAAACTGTCTATATTCATATTTAGGGACCTGATCTTGCAAACAGTGTTCACACCTTCTTACTGATTTTCAGAAATCTCTGCAGTTCCCGTTACTTAGCTGGAAAGCTCCTTGGGACAGGGACCATCTTTTTGCTCTGTGTTTGTACAGCACTTAGCACAAAGGGGACCTGGCCCTTGACTACGGATCCCAGTCACCATAATACAGATAGATAAATAAAAAACTTAGCAGATAAATCACTTTAAATGTGTTTTATTTGGTCAAAAATGACATGAAGAATAAGAAAGTAGAAATCTAGGGCCCAATCCTGCAACACTTACTACTGAGCATAGTGCTAACTCCCATGAGTAATCTCTGCAGTTCAATAGAAATAAAAACCATTAGCTATGTTTCATTTCTTCATTGTCAGATGTGATATCAGTAACAAGATGCCTAGGTGAAAAATGTTTAATGTCATGTCTGTGGACTTTAATCATAAATGAACTCAGATGTCATGGTAACCCTCAAGTACATCAGAACTGGATGTTCTCCAAGATGATGTCTGGATTGAGAGAGGATTTCAGACAAACTGAACTACACACAATTCTTCAGATGATTTCAAATGGAATGAAGACTGGAATACCAATAAAGCTCACCTTTCATAATCATATACTTATTACAAATAAATAGCCAAATTTTTGAGACTAGTTAAAAAAACAAACAAAAACAAAAAACTTTGCAGGGACACACACATGGTCTGGGAGCACTGTCAGTATCCAAGGCCTGATTCTGATCTCATTAACACCAATGTAAATTAGGAGTATCTGCATTTTTAGTCCATGGTGTAAGTGAGATCAGAATCAGGCCTTCAGGCTTTCTTGCCGTACAATTATGTCAAAGATAAATGAACAGCCCTGAGACTGGGCCAGACCTCACTGGGAATTAATAAGCATGAGTCATATGGCTAAGCTCAGATTTTTATTAATGAGGTCTAGTTCTGTTCTTTGCCAGGTTTTAAATATGGCTGCATTGATTACTGTATATTTGCTCCATAACGGGAGTTTGAATCCTGGCTCTGACACGGACTCCCTCTGCAACTTTGGAAAAGTCATTTAAATTTTCTGTTCACTTTTCCCCATCTCTATAAAATTACCTACATGCCTCACAAAGATGTTGTAAAGATTAATCCGATCAAGTATATAAAGAGCATCAAACATGGAAAAAGTGGGCATATCAAGTGTAAGGTGTTGTCATCTCCTACTAGTGACATTGAGATCATGAAAGGGTTCATTTTAGCCAAAAGGTTAGACTTATTCTGTTTTACTTTGTTTTTAATATGCTGTTATTGCAGGATTGATTATGCCATCATGTCTGATCTTCCCTTCACCTATGAGAGCTTTAAATTAGATTTCTTTCTAAACAATATGTTACAACTTGAACAAAAGTTATGGCTTGATGAATTAATTATTAGGTGTTTCTATGGCCTGTACTATGCAAGAGGTCAGACTAGATGATCATAAATGTCTCTTCTCACCTTGTCATCTGAGTCTTAAAATTCCACCCAACCTATTGAAAAATAATCTAAATCTTTCTAGTGGAAAGAAAAAGACCTGTAGTGAAAACAGAAATATTAGATGGTGGTTTAGGGCTTTCAAACACTAAATATTAATTTCAAATAGGAATGGTTCTATTGCCTTAATGAAGTAGGTAATTAACCTAGTATTAATGCTAAAGGTACATGAATGGATCATAATTTTACCAGAATTAACCCATCATTCTTCATGTCATGGTCTGAGGTGCAGTTCAGACCAGTGAGAGATTGTCACTGCCTGCTCTGTCACTCTGGGTGCCTTAAATGCTCTGCTGCTGTAGTGCCCAGGCCTGGACGTTTCCAGTCAACAGACAAGCATGCACTGAGTATCTGTGTGTTAAGCAGCTCTGACTCACAACTCTAATTCCAGCAGCCTGCTTGTTACACCCCAGCCACACTCTGGTTACACCTGGCAAGATGACAGCAACATCTGCCAGTCCCAAGTTTTCCCAAAACCATGTGCTCTGCAATATCTAGTCCTCTCCTGAACCATTCAAAGCGATTCATGTTTGCTTGTTCCTTTAAAGATACAATACCCAGCACCTTGCCATATTGACTGGGGTTAACATTCACTTTAAATCAAACACAGCACTGGGTTGATTTAGATAAAAGGTAAAACAAGTTTATTAGTAGGATTTTATGTGTATTCAGATATAAAGAATAAAGTTAGAAATGGTTACAAGCAATTAAAAGTGGAAAAACAATTTCTAGAGACTAAGACTTAACAAAACTGGTTAAGTGGTTTTATTAAATGTCTTTTTTTGTCTCCTCTTAGGGTTGCTCTTGTGGAAAACATTCCTGAAGGTATAAACTATTCAGACAGTGCACCATCCCACTTGTCTCTTTTCCAAGGCTGGATGAATTTGCTTAATATGGCTGAAAAGTCTGTTGACATAGTATCTTCCCAATGGGACCTCCATCACAATCATCCATCCGCATGCCAGGTATGCTTTAGTCTAAACTGTCACCCCTCTGTTCAGAATCTAGTTTTGTATCTTGCTGCTCATGTTCTTTCTTTGTTGAGCTATGGAGCTGTGTCTTAACAGAGCTGTTTGGCTGAATATTGGGGAGTGGGAGGAAGAGGGGAATACCTCCTAATTATGTGGTCTATTATAGCAGAGCAGCAGAGTGGGAACTCTGCTATAGTTAAGGTTAAAACCAGCTTTATGTGTAAAGCTCAAACATTCTGTGTTCTAAAATCCATAAGGTTGATTGGATTGCCTGGAAATTTGGTGTGCTTCATGGGGGTTCAGGGAAGGGATAGGGATCCAAATGTGAGGCCATTTGACCAAGAGATTCCCAAGGTACAGCTCCCTGAAATCCTCCCAGCTTTGCTTAAAGTTGACTTGTTCTGGCAACATTTACTGCAGACAGATAAAGATCAAACCAGGGTTCACATCATTGCACGTGGATCTCCATCCCTCACAAGTTACCCCCACGAGAGTGTATGGCACTCACCAGCTTTTTGAGAGAAATCAAATTAAAAAATGTTATTTGAAAGAGAGTTTGTTTTTGCAGTTAGGCACATGATTATAAGCAGTTCTAAGACTCATGCACAGAGAGAGGCTAACTATCTGGAAAACTACCTCTCCATCCCTGGACATGTGTGGCTCTGAGGGAATTTAATGGTCATTAAATCTGAGTACTACTTCTGGTTCAAATCCAGCCCAGGTCGGGGGTGGGAACCAATAGGCATATTGCTCCAATCTGCCCCTGTCAAAAGGGAATTTGTATTTTGAGGAAATGTAATCTGAGTATAGCATAATATTCACAATGTGCTGAAATTATTTTGTGAAAAGAAAATAAATAACACAAACAAAAGCTCAATGTGAAGAGAGGGTGGCTGAGGTGGAAAAGCAGGCAGGAATAGGGGAGAGAGGTTGGGGGATCAGGTGATGGAGATGCGGGGGGAATGGAAGGGGATACTGGGGTGAGTAACGGGGGACTGGGGGAGAATAGGGACAGGTGTGCTGCTCAGCCCAACATTTTCCGCTCTGTGTGTGCCAGGATCTGAGGGGGCAGGGATTACCCATCTCTGCTATGCCTTATGGGAGTGTAGGTAGGGTTAATTATAGAAACGTAGGGTTATTTGAACAAGGGGTTCCTGAGATACCCCCCAGAAAAAAAAATCCTATCAAGTTCACAGATTCTAACAACTTTGAAATCCACATGGGCAGAAATCTGAGAATGAACTATAAACATTTTGGAAAAATCTGTCACTGTCAAGATGTTGTGTGGTGTGGCTTTTTTAAGAAATCTGAGTATGGCAGAATACTCAGAAGGCGCTGAAATTATTTTTGAAAAGCTAATAAATTACATGTGTGAATGTTCACTGGGGAGGGGAGGTGTGATTAGGTGGGAATGGGGGAGAGGGGTTTGGGTCTGTAGTGAGGGATGGGGGTATTATGGAGAGGGGATGAATGGAATGGGTGGGAGAGGAGTTGAGGGTCTCAGGTAAGGGGAAGGGATAGGGATTAGGGGAGTGGAAGGGGCGAGGATGGGAGGGATTGGAGAATGTGAGTGATAGCAAAGGAAGTTTGGTGGTTAGGGAGGGTTATAGCCAATAGTAAAAGATACCAGGTATATTTAGGATATAGAGGTGAAATATAAGTATTAATTAATGTTGTAATTCAGGACTTGTAGGCCTCAGGCCTGTAAGATATTTAGCTTAGCCAATCAAGGTCTTAGGCCTAAAGATAGGTGACTCATCGGTTAGTTACTCATGTCAGCCTATGTTATGAGATGAAACAATCAAAGGAATAGTTGTGCTAAGTGCTGATATTTAGGAAATATATATTGCAATGTACCAGTTAAAGCTTGATAGAGTATTTTGGGGATTTTTGCAAACATAGGGTGTCAGCAATGTGCTAACCAAGTTGTTACGGTGACTGAATGACATAAATGTTAATAAGTTAGTCTATAAAAGTGGCCACTCCAAACTTAGTGGGCTGTGGAAGTATAAATAAGGAAAAGGAGTTGAAACCTTCATAAATATGTACAAACCCTAGTGGGTGTCAGCATAACACATTATAAAATCTGTATCTGGGCCTCTGTGCCTTCAGAGACACCAGGATGACACCCTCTGGTGAGGAGGAGGAGGAGGCAGATGATGACTGACACTCCAGGGTTTCCCAGCAGGAGAGATGAGTGATGGCAGTCACAAGGCTAACCGCTTTGCACTGTCTCTCTATCTGCTGTTGTACTTCAATGTTGTGGGATTGTTTATTTGCTTAGTGTATTTGTTAATAAAGGAACTTGTGATCAATTGCAATTGTTTCTTGTGTGCTCCTCATGTCTCTCAATCTAATGATACTGATGATCATTCCTGATTCTGTAGCCACTCAGGAGACTGAACCCTTATTGACCACTGCAGTCTAAGAGATTAATCAATACACAAATCCATCAGTTAAGTTACTGATTTGGCACCCCAGATGGGACCAGAAAGAGCACATAGAGAAGAAGGCCACTGTGTAGTGAGACAGAGATAGGTCAAGACCATCCTTGGTGCTAGCCTGGGAATAAAATCCTTGTCATAGTCTGACTCTGAGCAGGTCAAACCGCCATGGCTGTGTAATCAACCTGGAATTGCACTTCCACTTCTCAGTTCCTGTTTTTATTCTTGTGCAGTTCTATCTCTTTTTCTTTTGTCATTGTGAAATTATGAGCCCATAAAGAAAATGGTAATAAAAAGAAAAATAAGAGAAATTAAAGATAAGAAATAAGAGAATGGGTGTGAGTGCCCTCTTGTTTCTCAAGAAGAAACACAGGATGGAATTTCTCAAGAAAGGAGTTTGGGGGGGAGACGTCTTCTGTGGGAAAAGTAAATTGTAATGATTAGTCATTTTGCAATTTCGCAAGAAGATAATTATTTTTGTTTTAAATGTACAGATGTTAGTGGGTAGATATTGTGATATATGAATAGTGGTACCAGATATTAACTGAATAAGCGGTAGTGTTGGGACCCCACAGTTATTTACAGACCAGAGGATCCCTGAAATATAAGACTCCTTTGGACTGTGCCCTGACAGAAGATTAAGGGAAACTCTGTGGGACACCTCGGTGGATATATGTTATCAGCCCATTGTGATCTGAAGGATTTCTGGCCACTAGTAGCTGAAGGGGAAGAAAGCACCACAAGTGCTTCCTGGCAGCAAATAGAGAAGGGAGGAAATGACAGACAGTCCCTTTAGTGAATTGTGGAGGATTTTAATGGATTTTGTATAAAAATAACCAGTTGAATAAGAGCGCAAATAAGGATATGAAAGGAATACCATCCTAAGACTATCTAAAAGCCCTGGAAGTGGGCTCTATTAATTATAACCTTATTTGGCTTCACTCCTTTAAGGTGTCAGTAATATTTAGTAGGGACATCCTTGCAGGACAAGGTGGAATCCCAAAAAGCTGATTGTAAGAAGTTTAAAAAACAAGTAAAGGAATGGTCAAGTGAGTGGGAGTCTCAAAAGACCAAAAGAAGTAATCTCCATTTATAAGAAAATAATGTAAGCTTAGTTAATCACAGGTCTTAGAGGCCTTGTAACTATGTATTTTATAACCCGGTGGGGGGGGGGCGGGGACTGCCAGCTGTAACAAAGGTAGAAATAGTTATGCAAAGTATATGGGTGAAATAAATTACCTTCTAAAAGATTCCATTAAGTATCTATCCGTTCATCTTAATAATTTATCAAGTAATTATACCATTAAAGATATTAAGTTTGTGCTCTTAATTTGTAATTCCTGGTTAATCTTCATTTAAAAAACAAACAAATTTACAGAAACCAATCAAAAGTCATTAAAAGTCTTTGGCCAGCAACCAATATGTTGCTGAACACTAAAGGGGAAGTACCTTCCCTAGCAGTTTTGTCTGTATGTAAAAAGAGAAACTGACAAACCAAATTGCTTTTAACAAAAATTTGGCTTAAAATTAAATTGGTTGCCTATAAAGTCATGTTAAAAATTTTTTTTAAATTGTTTTAAATTTAGATAATGTATTTTAAAACAAAGCTAATTACCACTATTTGCCTTTGTTTGGGGGTATTTAATATAGTATTTTAGTAATATAGCAATGATTTATAAGGTTCACCATCTTTTCGAGCAAGGCTATGGCTGATGTAGATGTAAAAGGTAACTTAGGCTATGTCTATACTAGCACTTTTGTCGGTATAAGAAACACACCCAGAGTGTCATAAGTTACCCTGACAGAAGCACCGGTGCTGTTAGCTCTGTCAGCGGGAGATGACATAGCTACTGCCGCTCATTGGGGGTGGTTTAATTATGCTGACGGGAGAGCTCTCTCCGATTGGCATAGAGTGGCTACTTGTGAGCTGTTACAGCAGCAGAGCTGCATCGGTACAGCTGTGCCACTGTTAGGTCTCTAGTGTGGACATGACCTTAGTAAATAAAGGTAGGGTTAAGAACAAGCCCAACCCACTACACCCCTAATCTGTAAAATACAGCAAGTAGGAAAAGGAAAAAAGGTAAAGCTCTTATGTAAAATTAAAGTATGAAGTGTGTGTGTGTGTGTGTGTGTGTGTGTGTGTGTGTGTATGTATAAATAAGGGTAATTTATATATAAAATTCTGTTTGCATGTCTGTATTGGTCAGACTACCAGCCACAGAACTTGTTGGGTTTAAAAATCTAGTGGTTAATAAAATATTATTTATTCAACTAATTGGTTATTGTACATCATTATCCCAAAGATAGGTATAAAGTCAGTTATGATCCTAGACATGCCTGCAGTGGGAAAGAAAAACTTTCTACTTTATACAGAAATCCTCCTGCTCCCTGTATGTTCTGGAGGACCCTACTCCTGTTGGGATGTCTTTGGGCCCTTCTTCCTGCCCCTCCATGTGAGCTGGGGTTGGGCAGGGAGGAGAGGGAGACACACAGGCAATGCAAATTTAACCATCTGAAATCCAAAAAGTTAATATTTAAGATACATATCAC